TTAGATTTGTAACAAAAACTGGGAATAAAAAAAAATATAAAAGTTGACAGATGAAATATGCCAAAAAAATCTAAAGTAGAATGATTTATCACACCACCTAAGAAAATGAATTAAACATGTTTTATATGTATACGTTTGTAATGATCGAAAAAATATTTCGTATTTGTTTTTAATATTTATTACTGTCTATTTTTTAGATTCAATTCAGTTTTTGGAAATTTATTCAAAAGGTAAAAGGCAATTGTAAATTTAACTTAAATTTTCTATTTACTATTTTTTGTTCAAACTATTTTGTGTTTTACTAATATGTACCATTTCAAGTAGCAATATTTTAACTTTGTTATTTTCAACAGCTATAATTTTTGTATTACCATAGTTCATGACGCGAAACTCCGAAATAAAATGCTCTGCATGCTCTGTTAAGTTTGAAATCATTTTTGTGCGAGATAATTCGTGAAGTTCATTTAACGAACTACTTCCTTCGTGCAAGGCTTCATCAACTTTTTCATTTTGATAACAGTAACAAATGATATAATAAAAATAATAAATCGGCTTTATTGTAATACAAAAAACAATACAAAGATACATTTGAAAATGAAAATAACTTATTGGAGATTCTGGTACTCATTGGCGAAGTCTAGCTCAAAGCTACTCTAACTCAACCAACAAGCACCACTCCATAATGTACGCGAACATACAGAAATAAAAAGACACTTAGAAGTGATGGTACCACGAAATAAGCATTTGGTGCATGTTCTATACAATACTGTTTGTAACTTTTCGATCCTGTATCCTTCCACAACATAGGCATATGAATACAAATAACAAAAAATAATTGACCTTTCACAACGCTTACAAAATTCTGAAACTAATGGCGATTCCTAACTTTCTCCGCAATTCGTATATCTGGTGATGTCACGCCCAGTTTCGATGAAACGCTTCTTTGAGGTTTTCTGAAGCGGCGGGATTGTTCCTGTCAATATTTCTCGAATTACATACCAATATCATTGAAAGGGAAACTTATTAATAACACCATGGTAACAACAAAATGGCACAATTAGTCTTCGAAGTGGAAAAGACGTCATATTCGTTTTTTGGCAAATTCTATCGTTTGAATCAAAATGTATAAAATGTTAAAAAGATAAATCAATTGACTTTCCGAATGTCGTATTGCTTCTATTCTCGTTCAAGATTCAAGGATAAGATACCCGACGGAATGGAAGTGGCAAGGTCGAAAATTAACTTGAAATATTTTCGATTTTTTCAAAATGCCATCTATTACAAATCGGTTTTGTTTCGTTTTTACTGACTTACTCCGTATATACAATAGTTTTAGGTGATGGATACATTTTTGATTGATTCTACTGTTAGGAATTGAATATAAATAAAAATTAACGAGTCTAACATTTTTGTAGTTGAAGTCACAGGTTTAGATACAAAGTGTCTCAGAAATCGTGGTCCAAACTGAAGGAGGAAATAGAGGAAGCTATTTCAGATAAGGTTTACATACGAGTATAACATGGGGACATTGTAAAACCCCTTAAAAAGTTTGTTGGTTTTCTATCTGCAGCATGTATTTAAATATTTCACGGTTACCAAATAACTTGGAAACCTAATTTTTTTCTTGCATTTGTTTTCTTTAAAAAGTTGCACAGTTTTGATGGGTTTGATGTTAACAAAGACTACATTCTGTGTTGTGCTGTACAAGGTCTCAGTTGTCAATAATTTTTAACTTCTCAATTTGACGAATCGCTGTTAATGGTCAAACTACTTCAGTTTCAACCGTGACTTATGAGACACACTGTATGAAATTTTCTATGAATTTTTAAATGATCGGTTAGTAACCGACTTTGTTAGTGAGTTTCACTCATGAAATCCCCGCCGTGTTGAACGCAAGTTCGATCCCTGCTCACTTCCTAAAACGTATTGAAATGTGTTTTTCGTTAACCAGCTGTAGTTTCCTCACGAACAACAGCCCTCAGGAGTCAAAACTTCTGCGAGTTAAGTATTAACGGGCATTTTCGTAGCACTTTCTAAGACTTAAAAAATATATATTTTGTTCCAATCTGGGACTCGATGGATGATTTGTATGATGCGCTGTAAGTTAGAGCGTCTCACGCTAAGAGATGAGACCTCACTAGCTATCGGACAAGTTAGGATTTTTGAGGGTTGCCGTTTTCATGGGGAAGGCAGCTGGTTTACAGAAATCCCACTGTGAAATTCCATTTCAAATTAAACGGGGTTTCACTACATTATTAATAATGTATTCCTAATTTCTCTTCACCTTGAGGATGTGTTTCCTGCAAAGAAATGGACTGCACACAATAATAGAACACAGATTTCCACTAATCATTTCCTGATGTATTTTTAGGCAGGGAGAACGTTCGAGAAATAATGAATGTATACATGGAGTTAAATAGACCAGAGCGACGATGTTCGGTTTATATGATATCCTATTTTAGAACCATTCACAAAGAAGATATAAATGTATACGTGAACAAAACGAAAAATTCACAATGAAACATCAACATGAGCATATCTCAGAGGGCAACTTTTTTTTCTTATGGTACCCAATCCGATTTGTGAAAAAGCCTTTCATTTGAAATTGTCCAACTGTTCCTATAACTATGATATCATTTAAAAAAAAAACTTGTGAAAAACTCTTGTGGAATTTTCATCACTTTTAACTGGCTCATACCACAGTTGATGACATATTAAATAAATACATAAATATATTAATCTCTTGTATCATATTATACAACTGGTGTGAAGACAGCTTTTATATTCAGGTGCCAAACTGCCAGTGGCGTCGGATATTTCTCATCACTTATAAAAAATATTTTAATGGTAAATTCGCATTCTCAGTTAATGTACGATTAATGTTAGAAAGATATTTCAAATGTTACTTATCTGTGCCGGTAAGATTTTTAATCTTTAATGAGTAATTTGGGAGAAAATATAAACTTAATTAAAAACAAAAAAGTGAGGTAAATATTCCTAAACATTCAGGGGTATAGTAGAAGTAAAGGATATTGTACATACTTGAAGGCACTCTCAAAGGACAAAAAAACAATACATGGAAATGAACCGGCTGCGAACTAGTCCACGTGGACTGTAGACTTAGACTTGGCGGTTGGTATTGGATAATTTTTATTAACCGAGTTTTATGATTGGCTGAAGAGTCATAAAATTAAATTTTAAGTCATGTTGTGATGAATAGAAATCAGGAATTTGGGGATAGTTATCGCCGTCGTGTAATAAAAACGCAGACTTTTTCCAGTGTAGTGATTCCAATAGCGATGGTGAACAATGCGAAAAAGAGATACCAGTGAATAAGATTTGGATGCATTTGAATATTGAAACACAGAGAGTATGTTTTTATGTATGTAAGAATCTACATCTCAAGTTTGGTTTCGAGGGAAACAAACTATTACAAGCAACATTAGATTTTGAATAGCTGTTGCCCCCCTATTAACGACAACCCCCAGAAGTCGACAGTTGTGCGAGATAAGAATGAAATATTTGAACTATATTGCAAATCGGACTAACAGAATATATTTATATGTAATACATGTTATCTTTTATTTACATTGGCTTCAGATATTGATGTCTAGAATAAGTTTTTCACCTTTTTTCAATATATCGTCTCTGAAAACTTATCAAATGTTTCCATAAAAAGTAAAAAAAGGTTTAGCGATCCTTCAATTTTTTAGAAATCATAAGATGCAGGAAGACTACCACAACCTCAACGGAAAGACGAGGATATATGATCTCTACAAATATGACAATAATAATAGTGTTTATTTAACGTGGTGGAGTGTAGCACAACGATATTCTTTCGCTTAATCACATATAAAAAAAACATTACAAAAAATTACAGTACATTCATTTACTCTCAGGAAAGCTGTTTAGACCAATTCTGATCGAGTTTTTTTTACAACAGAACACAAGCACTACAGAAACTTCCTTAAGGCGCTCTGAGAGCGGTGCCTGTGCGAAAGTAGCGATTCACATTTGATTTGATTCGCTGGAGATTAAATCCATTCGGAAATGCGTTCTCAGGAAGTTCATTTCACATAAAAGTGGTTCTCCAGATGAAAGAGTTCTTAAACAGTGAAGTTCGAGGTGTACTGAGTTGAACCTCAAAACGATAAGCACCCACAGTCCGTCGCGTATTTCTGATATGTACCGCTCTTGGTGTAATCAAATGTGCCAAGTCACTTGAACACTTCCCGTGAAAGTATCTATAGAAGAGAGACAAATCTCCAACCTTTCTTCGATGTTCCAGACTATCAAGGCTGCACTTGATGTTCGCGTCTCCAATCAGGCGGATGACTCTTCTCTGGATGAATCCACCAACTTCAGTGTATGTTTGGGGGCAGAACTCCATACATACAGTAATTCCATTGTGAGTTCAATTTTAACAATTTCCATGTAACTTCTCAATTTGACGAATCGCTGTTAATGGTGGGGCCAAAATTGCTACAGTTGTAAAAGAGATAAGAAACTATACAATACTTATCTTACAATACCGATCCCTCTTTTCAGACTTATCATCTGCCTCCGTCTTCAGAAATGGACAAAATTCAAGTTTATATTTAGTTCTTCCTTTGCTGATTTTTTTTTCAACTTCTTCGACAGATATCAAAGGAATTTTCAAATGTGAATTAAGTCAATGTTTTTAAAACATTCTTTTGGGAAACGGCATCCTCGTGAATTAATATTCCAGAATAGTTTTTCAAAATCGCCAGTTTTGCAAGAACAGGAACCGCTTCCACAACATATTAAGGAATTTTTGCATGATTTGTACATTTCAAAGAAAACCAGTTCTAAATCAGTCAAAACAGTTTTTCAAATTAGTTCAATAAAAAATAAAATAAGTATGAATTATTAAAAAAATCAGTAACATTCTTGTTCCTTAGGATGCATACGGTATTATAAAACGACGAATCAATGAATTTTATAACGATAGATTATAAGTAATAAAAAAGTACACTCACAACTTCAGATAGATTTTCAACCTCTTTGAATGGATCCCTTTTATCCATAACAATTGTTACCGAATCTGAAACAACAGAGACAGTATATTAATATGATGTAAGTTAAGTATCGAATATACAGTATGTATGGTTAGAAATATCAAAATACTTTGAGTGAAATTTCCACTTTATGAATTATGCCAAATTTCAGGAGGTGATCAGTATTGTGTGCATTATCATTAATACTTTCTCGAAGGTATACTATACATTAATAAAACACTTCAACAATCTGATAAAAAAAGTGATAAAACAAAAACTACCCGTAATACAACCAACATTCTCAATAACAACCAGCCAAAAATACAGTTCCTTTACCTAATAATGACAGTTTTCTAAATGTAGCAAATAAGTTTAACAATCATTTTGTCAACTCAGCACCTACTAAAGATAAGCAACTTTCATTTGATCTAGAAAACTTTACTCCCCAATGCTCCAACTCAGTATTCTTTTACCCAACTAGAGAAGAGGAAATAATTGAAGCTAGCAGCAAAATAAAAATAAAATGAGTAGTAGTAATTACAGATAACATACCAGCTAAAATCTTGAAACGTCTATTCCTTATTGCCCGTTCCCTATCATATCTTTATTTCCTCAACTTCTCCTGATCAAATGAAGTTAACTATAGCAATACCATCACATAAAAAGGGAAACAATGATATTACAAAATACCGGCCAATTAGTTTGTTGAGTGACAGAAAACAAACCGTTTCCATTAAGATAAATGATAAAAGCCTTTCTTCTGATCATACAAAAATCAAAAAAGGGTGTACCATGAGGAAGTGAGCTGGTTTTGTTACTTTTTATTATGAAATACTGGACTTGTCAAATATTCAAAGAATTGAGCACATCTGTTGTGAGTTATGTTCGTAATTCAAGCCTAATTTTGTCACTTAATGTGGCCGAAGTACTTTGGAAAGCTATTTCCAAAATATATATATATATATCCTGCAAATATAAACTAATTTATGAGATACATATACAATAACTTATCAACAAGATTGCGAGTAAATGTTATGCGATCAGACTTCTGAAAAGACACCTAAATACCGAGGCTCTTGAAACTGCTTACTATGGAACTGTGTATTCATTTCTTAAATATGGTATAACAGTATAAGGTACAAATACACCTTTACAATGCATTTTTATCATGCAAGAATGCATTTTGAATGTCGAGGCATTTTCAAAATGAATAAAATGATCACAGCATGTGATTAACATACACGTATTTGTAATGTTTATGCATGACAATAAGTCATAATTTGAAAATGATAAACACAAATATGAATATTCCACTAAACTCAAATCTAATTTTCTCCTTCCTAAGCATAGGCTGACCATCAAAGAAAAAGGCCCATACTATGCAGCCCTCAAATTTCATTATCATTTGCCCACATTAGTTAGACAGGGCTGTACCATAATATATTTAAAAATCGTGTTTTGGATCTGCATTGCAATATCGAGCCTCATTTTCCAGGAGAACTATTTGATAAATATCTTTATATTCAGTTTATTATGCATCATGTGTAATTAGTATGCAGTACATACCTGCATTAGTAAGATTGGTTGATACTGATGACTAATATTTTTCCCCATTTACAATTTTCAATTCATTTTAATTTTCTTAATTGTATTTTTTTTTACCTAAGCTATGCAACTGTATGAATGTTGACTTCGAAGTCTCTGTCTAGTAGATACCAACATTCAAATGGCTCAATGATATAACTAGTTTTTGGTTATAATTACTATACTTGAGAATATGTGACAAATGCCAGTTGATTAGATAGTAGAACGATTAATGAGTTCAGTTATCAAGAAATAGTTGTCATTAATATATGCCAAAGTTTCGGATCACATTTTCTTTACTTAATTCTCTTCACACTTTAATCCTAACAATTATTGCCCCCAAGAAAACCAGCTCCTCATTTTCCTTTGAAGGACATCGACTGATACTATGACATATTGAAGTAGATATTGTTGCCAATATTTGAATCTACAAAGTTCCACTTTGAAAAAAAGTCACCCGAATTGAACTGTATTTCCTTTTCATTACACAAATTGAAACTGATATCCATATATAGTAAAATAACATATGACGTAGTGATACTCAAAAGCAATGTAACCAAATTTTGACACCTCGTATGTATGAAATCAGAGCCTTAAAACAAAGTATTCGTGATCCCCAGACAGCGCTGTTTCGACCGGTCATAGGTCTCATCAGTTCTGATAAGCTGAACCATGAATGAATTGCTGGACTCATTTGTCCTCAAAGGAAATGCCTGAGCAAGTTGAGGTGATGACATCTCCTCTTACGAAGATTGACAGAAGGCTCAATGCATGAATATCAAAGATAAACGAGGCTCCCAGACGTTACCAAGTTCAGACACCAACTGCAGAAGAGATGCGACCTGTCTTTTACTGCCGCTTTCACTGCAATGTATCTCCATGAAATTGGTGCATAAAAACAAAGCATTTGGGATCTAACACCAGGCAGCACTATTTTGACCTACCAAGATATCATCAGTGGTGCTAGGCTCAACTGTCCTTGAAGGGCAAACCTAAGATAGATGACATCTGCTCTAACGAAGAAGTCACCTATGGGATTGACAGAAAACTCAATCCACGAATATCAAAAGAAACATGGCTCCCCAAGGAAAAGCCATCTTCGTCATCTGTCTTGGAGAGCCTCGTTTATTTTCGATTAAAGAAAAACGAAATGAAGGATGAGGATTGATATCCTCAGCTCTGTTAACCTCTTCAAATTCATCCTGTAATGATAGATTATTGAATTTTGAACGTTCATTTTCTTCAGTATCGAATTTCTCATCAATACATGAAACACTTCGCTGGTATTTTCAGAGCTGACTATAAAAACTTGTAAAAAAAATCCAAAATATCACTTTTGAAATTACCAGCCGCCATATGTCCATTTGTTGTTTTTTTTTGAAGTATTTCACTGCAGAAAATTATTCCTTTTCTCGTTCTATTTGGATATTTGGTTGCTAATAGATGTGTATAGATTGTATTTCATCTAGATTATGATGAATAATTTGTCAAAAATCTGGATGCAAATCAGTAAACTTCAGAACCACTTCACCAGAAATGTCAACAATTATAGCAATAAAAAATGATGTTAAAGTATGACTTCTGTAGTTTTCAAAGACTGTTAAGACCTATCAATCTCAGATGTCACTAATATTGTAAGGCTGTAGGGTCTAATGTATGACATTTGTGTGCTACAAATATCAATTTGAAATTGTTTTAGAAGATATATGTTTGTTCCATTTTATTCATTCCTAATCACTGTAAAATACAAAAAAGTATGCATGAGGAATAATATAACATTGATATTGACTACCTTTTTCCGGCATATGATACCTATTTATTTCATAAAGTAGTCAGTCTGTTGGAATATGAATTGAACCTAACTGGCACCCAATACTTTATGAGAATATATTTTATTTAGTTGAATGAAGTTACTCTTACCTGTTATAAACGGGTTTTATTATTGCCACTTTATTACAAACTTTTCCTTATACATGAATTCACTTTACACTTTAGCAGAAATTCGTTACTTTTTGTTTCAAAATGAACAGTCAACAAGTGTCAATGTTGCCAAGCGTCAGCAATTGCTGTGCCTGGGATTATAGGCGTCGAAAGGATGGCCGATATTCAAAATTATTCTTTATGCCATTACTAAGTTCTATGATATAGGTACTAGGTATTTAGAGAATCGACAAAATCTGCTTCACCCATGATATGTTGTTGGATGATTTATAGTAAGAAATAACTTAGTTTACTGAAAAAAATGTGGGTTCCTTGATTAAAAAAGCATTGTTCAATTTGCGATACAACTAACTATATTCCAATTGACGACCGATTGCATGGAATGAGGTTCTTAGTATTCAGAATACTCTATCAATAAGCGTTCACCATTGGCATTTGGTATCATCAGCGGTTGGCGTAAAGCCATTTGTAAAGCGGTTGTGTTTCTGGTAAATTTAGCGACAATTATTATTGAGTCACCAACTGTACTCAGTAACACAATCACAATGCTGTCAGTTTGTCGTCAATCGCTAATGAAATCAAACTCCAATCGAGAACGCCTAATGACGTTGAAGTCTCAAATTAAATGTTTATACTTCACATAATTATTATGTTTCTTTCAATATGTTTCATTTTGTGGGCCATTATAGTATCACAAATGATATACCTTTTAGTAATATTGTTGATTGGCCATATCGTTGAATTAAGCATACAGAGAGGTCTTGAGTTTGGATCATAATTCAGCGTATTATATTGGCGATTTTTTCAATTGAGCGAACAATCACTTGAGTATGAAAATATTTTTATTTTTGAAATTGAAACTATTCATAAAACACTGAGATTTTCACTGCATAGTTTTATAAAAACGCAATACGTGTTTACTACGTTTGTGAAATTATCTAGTGAATATTATCTCACAATAAATTGTTTCTTGAATACGCTATGGATTTTCATCAAGTATCAGCCGATTCCATCACATACGCATTGTAAATAATTTTTAATTGAAATTAATATGATTTGTTTAGCTCTGTATTCAAGTAGGTCCAAAGATTTTCGTTTTTTTTTGTTTCATTTAATCAAAAACTACTGTTCTGAATGATATATTCGTATTGAAATTGCGTTATTTTTTGAGATTATATGATATTGATATTTTTCCTTGTTTCTCTTATCTTTCTTTTCTAAGCAAAAGCTACTGTGACAGTATTTCGTTACTAATGACAACGATCTATGAGTCATAACCTCAGAGTAACAAAAGATAATAGAGAGGCCTATTCCATCCTTACATTGAAGGCAGCATAACTTAGTTTGTTTACGGGAAGTGAGTTGGACCATAAAACAGTGGCGGTCGGTTTAATTGATAACCGGAGGGATATTTTATATTCATAAAATAAATCATTTCAGGTGAAAATGTATTCTGTTCAAATAGTTCCTACAGAAAATCTGATTTATTATTAATGATTATGGAAATGGGGCCAGTTTTTCTACCACCTACTAGATTTTTATTTATGTATGGCTTTATTAACCCAGTAAACCACGCGCTTTATTATAAAGCCATATATAAATAAAAATCTAGTAGGTGGTAGAAAAACTGGCTTCATTTCCATAATCATTGATGAATAATAAACCAAATTTTCTGTAGGAACTATTTAAACAGAATACGTTTTCACCTGAAATGATTTATTTTATAAACATGTAATATCCCTCCGATTATCAACTTAACCAACCGCCACTGTTTTATGGTCCCACTTACTTCAATTGTAAACAAACTCCATAACCTCTCATTACCTGCCACCCCCATTTCAAAACACATTCAAGTAATTTCGAATACTAACTACGGCCTACGACTTTTCTACTGCTATGTTTCTCTGCTCCTCAAAGTTTGTTGATCAATCGGTCCTAGTAAATATACTGATACTATTTTCACAGTACATGATAGTATTATCATCACAGATATCCAAATGTACAGCCATATATAATATTTACTCTCATTGGTATATATTTATTAGTTGAATTTTATGTTATCTAACCTTTTGTCCTGTTACATATGTGATAAGGTTTCAACATATCGCACCCTTAGAATGAAAGTGACTCAACTCAAAATTCCTGTAATACTCGATTTCACCATAAACTGACCTTATAAAGCAAACTCTATAACCC